TTCGGTTATAAATTTGTGCTTATCTTTTTGAGTAGTAAATTTGACTTTGTCCTTACTAGAGAAATTCTGTGTCACTTCTTAAAAGTAAGAAGTACGTGACCTGTATTTAATATTGTCTAGTTCCAAGCCATATGAATTGTCTGATAAATAAAACATCCAAAATTCAAGCATTTTTTTTTTTCAGATGAAAGTATTACTTGCATTTTTCATGGATTATACGAATTCGAAATTCATTATTTTTGGGGACAAAAAGAAGAAAAAAATAAATTTCCGAATTGAACGTGCTTTGAATTCAGTTTACTATGAAAGAAGATAATAAATTTTGCTTTTTTCTCTCTCTACACAAACAACAACATTTTAATAGATTCTTGAGAAAAAATAAAAATAACATCTTATTACTAATATTTTTAAATAATATTTGTGATATTTTTAATTAATTAAATTAAAAGATCATAGTTAGAAAATTATGTATAAACAAATTCAAGGGGAGATAGAAATGACTTACAATGAATTAAAACATGAATTCATTTATGTAACCACCTTCAGTTTAGGGAGAGGGGAGAATATACTAAATAAATAAGGTTCATATTATTATTGCAATTTGATATTATTAAATGTATAAATATTGCCATTGTACAGGTTATTAAGTGGATCGCATTAAGCTGCATCATAAATCTACTTTTCTAATGACTCCAGCAATATGAAGCATTTTGCAGTACATAAAAAATGTGATAGTTTATATTAGTGATTACAATCTATAGCGTATGATAATGCAACACTTCGAAAAAAGAGTTAACTCCCGTCATTTCTCGTTTTCGTGGCCACCAAGGTCACCCGACCTCACTCCAATTGATTTCTCTCTATTGGGATACTTAAAATCCACAGTATATTCGTCAAATCCAACAAGGTTGTCTGAATTAAAATCATAATAATATCATACGTACGATTCAACAAATTCTTCTTAACATATTTCGTGCTTCCATGCTATACACTATTTATCGGATGCAAAGTGTGATCATTTGTGAAGACGGCCATGTAGAAGATGTATAAACGTCAAATACTTTCTCAGTTTCAGTCAAATACTTCTCCGTTTTTAAAGGTTTTTATCACTTTCTTCTCATTTGCGATAAAAAATGCCGAAGCCAGGCAAAGGCCCATCGTCGCGATTTCTAATGCTAAAAATATCGTTCCAACTCAATTTTAAGTTTTCTACTGTAAGGATAACGCTTTGATCTAGAAAAAAAATGAGCCATTTGAAAATTCTATCACTGTAACTGTAAGCGTGGGAGCGGCGCAATCGTTTATGGTACAATTCTTGAACGCATATGACATTATACCCATCTACAGCATTTTATTATAACCTCACTCAAACGGTAAGTTCTCCATAGAATCTTATTTTATGATCAATCTGTACATACAGTCGAACCTCAATAAAGTGAACACGCTTAACATGAATGTCCTTTAACGTGAACTAATTTTCGATTCCTCGTCAAATTGTATAAGGATATAATACTTTAAAGTATTTTGCCACGTTTATATAAACTTGCCTTCGTGTATGTCTGTTCGGGTGGAATTTTGTAATCGATTTTAAACTAACTTCCCGACTTGCTACAGACTTCAGAATTGAATGATTATGCATGAAAAGGAAGAGAAAGAAGACATACAAAGTAAAATAAAATTAAAATTAAAAGAAATTAATATTTTCGCTATTGTCTTTTGTTTTCGATTCGATTATTTCAAATTAGTACCACATGTCAGTTGAAAAGTTTTGTGNAAAAATAAACAAAATAATAATAATATTTTTAAAAACCACGTTTTTGTAGTGGAGAATAATAATTAAAAAATAAAAATTAGAAAAACGAAAAACGTGGGGCGCATGAAATACATAGCGGTACATATACACATACATATACACATTTTCTTACTTATACACATGCCCAGCCACATACACATCCACATATACACATGCATACACACAAACGTATTCCACATACACATCCTCATTCAGATACAATTACAATTACAGATATACATATACATATTCTCATGAGCACACATACACTAATATAACATTACTGTTATGTATTTCACGCTCCCCACGCTTTTCGTTTTTTAAATTTTTATTTTTCAATTATTATTCTCCACTACAAAAACGTGGTTTTTAAAAATATTATTTTTTATTTAACATGAAATATCTTTTAAAGTGAACAAGAATTTCTCCACCATTGGAATTTTTTTTTTATATGAACAGAAAATTCATTTCTCCTCCGAGAGGTAAGAAAACTGATGATTCACAATATCTATATCTATAAGAGTAGGCATTTTGAATGCTTTGTTATAATGTTGATAATTGCAACATTACAGCAGTCAAATGAAAGAACTGTATTACTTAGGGAGGAGGGCATTACAGGAAACAACAAAAGTCTTTTTGTACTCCAATACAAATAGATTTTTCTTTCACCTCATGGGTGTGACTGTAAAAGAGCACGTTGATGCTTTGTTCAATATGGGTGGTCATTTCTCCAACACTCTTATAGGTTGTTTTAAGAAATTTATATTGAATTTCCACAAGTGAACACGTGTGGAGCTAACATTTTTCTGAAATTTTACTAGCGAATACTTTGGTTTACTTTCCACTCATGGATGCTTACGAAGCAATTTAAACTGCTCGTTATTTTGTAAAGCAAAACGAAAATTCAAACCATTTTTGGATATAGATGATAAGTTCCAAGACTTTTGGAAGGCATGAGCGAATAAGAAAACAAAATTGTGAACTATTAACTGTTATTTTGTTAGTAATTTTCACTAATTTGCGCAATAAATCAGGTTTTTTTTCTTCTATCAGCTCGTTACTTTTCATTAATTTTTTATTTGCTTTCCCAGACTCTTAAGGAGAAAAAAAAAGATAAAGCTTCGAAAGTAAATACACTTTTTTAAATTTCGTCTGAACAAAATTTTTTCATAACCTTATTAAAAAATTTTTCATTTAATTCTTCCTTCATAACTTTACTTTTCTTTTCAAAAAAAGAAATTGATTGTATTTATTATGAGATGTAAAGAAGTGATTAATTTAAAGCGCAAAATAAAAACATTTATTGAAAGGAAGTATATATAAATTTACAGACACAACTAGATAACAGATTTAGATAACAGAAAATGAGTGTGTATTGTTCGATTTTCATCACAAAAATTTCTAAACTGATACCGTGAATTACTTTCAACGTGAACAAATTTTCTGTTTTTGACGTTAACGAGGTTTGACTGCATATATATNATTGTGTGTGTATATATGGTTGGTAGGAAGAATGATTCTGAGGTCGAGAAGGTCAAGTCATGAAATTCATAAATTCATTAATTGCTACTGATAAAAATTGACAAAAATCAAAATGGAACTAATTTCAACCTAACAATACAAGGATCTAATAATATAAATAATCTTAACAGTGCACATTTTAAATTATGTTAAAGCCTAATAAATATTGCTTTATTTTGAACTACTAAGCTTCATTAAAACCAGTTTCAAATATAATATACTGCATTAAAAATTTATTTTTTATATTTATATAGAAAAAAATTATTATTTAAGTCAAATTTGGTTTTTATTTTCAACAGTAGTTTTTGATAAATCAATATTAAATGCCAGCTGTGAGTCAAAGGCATTAATACTCATTTTGCCATCTGCAGTAAAAATAATCAATTTTCATAATCAATCAATATTTTGAAAATAAAAAAATTTAAATGTGCTGATTCGGTAGTTATTCCTAAATGTTGCTGCAGAAAAATAATTTTAATATCACAATTAAGGGAAAATTTGTAAATTATGTATCAAATACTTTATAAAGCTAATCATGCTTAGTAAGATTAATGATTGATAATGATTAATAATAAAGAAATCATATTCTAATAATTGATGTCCAAGTAATTAACTCAAATTATTATGACAAACTATTACATGTTCAGGAACTATGCGTCTTAACTTGCTTACGGAAACATTTTGTTTAAGCTCATTATTGATAAATTAAAAAAAAGTGAATCTAAAGACAATAATAAGCTAAGTAATAAGCATATTCATTTATAGCGTGATGCTTTCTATTATTCAAAATAATGAGTGATGCATACCATTTATCAATCCACGAAAATTTTAAGATAAATTTTGAATGATAAATAGCAGAAACATTTCAGCTACCCAAAATAGCCTAATGTCGACACTAGTTCCCCTATACACTTATCGAAAAAGTTGCTCTAAATATAACTACGAAAATTGATTTTTTTTAAAAAATTCTGAAATCACATTTATTAACAAAATTTTTAAACTAGTAATACACATTGTTCGATTTAGATTGAAATATTAAAAAAAGGGACATTTACATATTTGTACATATCTAACATAAAATATATTGCTTTTAAAAGTTCATTTATACGTATGGATCAATGTCTGAAAAATTGAAATTTCCTGAAAATTTTAACATTTAATATTACACAATATAATAAAATACTTTTTTAATAAAAGCTCATTTATCTGTCCTATTTGTAATAACAACCTTTAAATATTAAAGGTGTCAGGAAAACATTTTAAAAGGAAGTCAGGAGGATTGTCAGGAAGATTTTAAAAAGTACGTTTTTTCATTTTACCTTTTCAATAAAAATTAAGAAATTCAACACATTTATGCATATTTTATAATGCTCGTAACTCGATCTGTTTTCGTATCAAGTAAAAAAAAAAGTGTTTATTATATTTTGCTACAGTTCATGCTTTCAAACTAGTGAAATAATTCATGCCCGCGAATTGTAATAACACTATCCTTTCTATCTGAAAGCTAATTTTAGAGCTATATAAGCACGATAATAAACAACAAAAATCAAAATAAAATTACTTACCTTGACATAAACTGCTCAACATCAAGTAATTTTTGGATCTTGAAATGCTTAAACAAAATTCATTTGAAAATTGCAATTTTCAAAAAAAAAATTTCTGGCAAAAGGAAAGAAACTCCACTTACCCTATTTTCGGGGCAGTGCAACAGGGTATACGATCAAAAAGACGCAGTCATTGTCAAAGTCAGGAGATCACACTTTCAGGAAAGAAGATTCAGTCGGTCCAGTAATGTTGTAGTACTGGGGGGAATGGAGCTTCATCTGGAAACTCGGTGCTCGCGCCTTTTCCCAAGTACCAAAAAATCAATATCCAAGACCTTGATTTTGTAGCGTGTATGCACATCTTTTTGAAAAATTCTAATTAACAGTGGTTAGTTTAGAATGCTTCGCTTATCACTGTTAAACCATATTCCTGAGAATATGTTTGCGAACGGTTAATTAGATGAAGGTGTTTATTTTTACTGTAACAAGAACATCTAACATTGCTACGAAACTAGATACGTAGGGGAGAGTGGGGTAAAATTCAAAGGCCTATTAGAGCTAGGCCGTTCAACTTAGCCGTCAGATTTAATCAAGATAGACATTATTTAGTTGTGTATAACATATCCTTCTTGAAAAAGTCATAGATGCACCGTTTTTTTTTTCTTCTTAGAAATGTTTTTTTTTTCTTTCTAGAAAAAGCCAAACCAAGTCTTTCTAGAAACTTGCCCCATCTACTAGGGAAGTAAGAACGAGTGCATAAGCAAATTCTATGGAAAATTTAGAAATATTAGAGATTCAGTGAAAAAGTAGCAGATTTTAATTAGAATTTGCAGTAATTATCTTCTTCCTCCACTTCACTTCGGCATTCGTGGGGACCAGCTAAAACACTTTCTTCTATAAATCCACCTTTTCAGTAAAAAAACAAACAAAACAAAAACACCTTTACCGTATAAACATCTTATATGTTTTTGTCATCTTCATTGAAAGAAACATCAATGGATGGTGTTTTCAATATAAATATAAACAACAATTTCCAGCTCTTGACCTGCTCCACTTCCGGTTAGAAAGTATACAGCTGCTTATTACAGCTTATTCTGCGGCGAGACGGTATTTTCAAACAGATAATTTTGTTTTTAATTTAAAAAAAATAAATTATATAATTTCTGAGCTCAAATCTTCTATATTTCATAAGATATTAATTATGTTAAGAGTAATTGTGGTAAGTTTGAATTAAAATTTTTTTTTAGTTATTTATAGATGTATTGTTAAAAAGGTGACATGGTTGCTCGATTTCCGATATGGCTTCTTTTTATTTGTTTACAACTGTCTATCTCGTTGCAAGCGGTGCACCATCATGTTTCAGTGTTAGTATATTTGTTCGAGCAGCGAGATTAAGCTCATATTGTAAATTATCATTTAGGTTTAAATTTCGAAGTTGGCATATCGTTGACAAGGTGAGAAGTGTTTTAGGTATAACGATTCTTTTTTTCAAATGACGATTCTTACGTCTTGAAATGACAGGTCTTCAAATGACGATTCTTTTTTAAACTCAAATAATAAATCATATAACAAATGCACGTATACAAGAAATACTATTCAAGAAAGTCTCAAAACATAATGATCACTTTTTGAGCAAAATGGTTTCAATATACACCTGAAACAGCAACCCGGAAGTATAGACAGTAAAGAGCTTGCAGTGCCCCCTGGTGTAGAAAACAACATCCATAAAGAACAAAACTGTTTTGTTCTATTGGTTCCTAATGCATTTCTCTTTTTTTGTTTTGAGGTTTTTCATTTTTTGAGCGTCTGCAAAACAACTTTCAGCACACTTTTTTTAAATGTTCTTTTTCTTTATCCTGAGTTTTTAAATCGTCTTTATAGGGTGATGGTAGTACACGGTCTTATCCCAAAAGCAGTGGTTATCGAAACAAGACAGAACCATGTTACTACTGGACTTATGAATTCTTAGTAAACGTAAAATAAGTTGCTATAAAATATTTTATAACAGTAATGATCAATAAATAAGGATAGTTTAAACACAAAAGAACATTAAAGAGTTGACATAGCAAAGCAAACTTATCAACACAGACGCTATGAATTCTACAACAACAGTGCACCTATAGGACAGCTTCTTATTGCCTAGTACTTACATCAAAACCACAAAAGTAACCCGAATAATAAATAACTAATCGATAACTCTGGGGAACAATTTATTTGTCTGTTGCAGATCTTAGATATTTTTGCGTCTCTGATTTCAAATCTGCAATCGGTTTCTCTCTACAGATTGCAATTTTTATGCAATTTAATAATATATTCCTGATCAATATTTTTTGAAATTCACTCAAGTGCAAACAGTTGGTAATCACGCACTTATGCACATAAAAGGTAGCAGGGATAAATATTGCTAACCTTTTGTCTCGTGCATGTTCACTTGTGTTGTCTTCACTTTATTTACTTCCACAGTACAGGAGTACCTAGTGTGACTTACTCGAGGAATTATGGCATTATTAATTCAGATTGCCTTTTAAAATAAGAGTTTATCATTAAATAAATATAATTAGTAGATATAAGTAGGTGCTCTTAACAAAATGGAGGATAGATAAGTAGGGAAGTGAAATTTATTAAAAGTTATACATTACATTATTAAACAGCGCTATCCAGCGGCTAAAATAATAAACAGTGAATTATTGAATTGGAAGATTAGTGATGAAAGATACATTTTATGACACAAACTCTTCTCTCCAACGATAATGTATTTCGATGCATGATGAGATACGTTATGATAATATGCTTTTTGTTTGAAGTGTTTTCAAAAGAACAGACAAGTGTTTAGGTACGTATATGCTACCGTAAATGACCGAAATAAGAAGAAAGTCTACTTTCACCGGCAAATGTCAACAATCACATAGTCGCTTTGGCGAATGTCCGAAATGAATGTTATATCCGACTTGATATTAATTTTTTCGTTGATATTATCATATTTATTCGACATTTTAATATCTGCTGAAAATAAATTGGGAGAAACATGAGAAACATTACTGCTTCACTTAATTTTATAACCGACGTTGAAGTGCCGACTTACGACTACTAATGCTCAACTTCGTAGCCTTGTAATTTTGAACCAATGCAGAAGGCAAGGAAACTCCCGAAGCAGTACCCCCAGAGGTATTGATTTGTTAAAGGAACATGGAGGACTCTGTAAATCTACAGATTTTGCGTGCATCAGTCACCATTCACTACACGGGAAATCTTCGGCCGGCGGGGATCGAACCCACGACCTCTTGGTCATGAGCCCAGTGCCCTACCAACCAGCCTATCCCGACCCAACTTTAATGTTTGGAGTACCAGTTGAATGCATACCGAGCAGTGGCACGGAATCTTAAAAAGACATTGATGTAGAGCCTACCGGGCAGTGGCACTTGACGTAGTATGTATTTCGGACAATTACCAAAGCGACTATGTGATGGTCAACATTCACCGGCGATAGTCAACAACCATCCTTATTGGTCATTCGCAGTAACATATATAAATCTATATGTTCTTTATGAACTTTTGAATTTTTACAAAAAATAAACTAACCTGAAAATATCATTTTGGAAAACTTTTGTAGCTTTCAGAGCAAAATTAAATTCAGATTTTAAATTCCCACTCACCCCGACCATTCACCCCGAATGAGGTTGTTGTTGTAGTTGTTGTTGTTGTAGTTCATGTACGTCACACTAGAGCTGCACAATGGGCTATTGGCGACGGTCTGGGAAACATCCCTGATGATGATCCGAAGACATGCCATCGCAATTTTGATCCTCTGCAAAGGGGATGGCACCCCCGCTTCGGTAGCCCGACGACCTGCACGCGAAGTCGAGCATTTTACGGTAGAACAGTTTAATGAGGACCAATACCGCACACCCTCGTTCCCTCCGCAAACTGATCCAAGTGGTCACCCACCCGCACACTGACCGCAGCCAATGATGCTTGACTTCTTTGATCTGCTGGGAACCGTGCCTTAACGATCAGTCCTCTGCGGAACCCCCGAATGTGGTAAGATCAAGTACTTGTATAAATACAACAAAAAATTTGCTCCCCAGTTTAATCAAGGGATCATGTGATAGATTAGTCCCTTTAACCAGTTTATTTGATTATTAACATTGATAATAACCAAATTGCTCGAACTGACAATATTCAAAAATTAAAATTTTATAACTCAAGAAGGAAAAAAAAAGGGCAAAATAAGATCGGAATGGAAAAACCTTCATTTAAAATAATAAAAAGTTGTTCTCTCAGTGGAAATGCTCATTTCCTGCTCCATGTCGATAATTTTATTTCTTCGACGGAAAAGGGAAGAAGAATGACGAGAATTAAACGGCTGATTGAATTTTCTTTCTTACTACAGAAACGTTTGTCTTCTTCTTTATCGCTTAATTTTCTGTTGCATGATTTTGCCTTATTCTTCCTCCTTGCTATTCTTTATACTGCTTCATCTACTGAATACCTCCACAAATACTGAGTTGTTGGGGGGGGGGGACGGTAATAATTTTTATTGAAATATTAGTTATAAAGTGTCTTTTCGCTATAATGACTTATTTACCTATTTGTTTATTGTATAATTTAGAAAGTTCAAGGCATTAAATTTTACATTAAAACAATTTAATTGAAACAAAAATATATTTTTTGAAACCCATCAGCTTCTTATAGATGGATCTTTTCAGGGCAAGTAAAGGTGGTGGGTGCGCAATACTAACCACATTGCTACAACTATGCCGTTGGTCACGAAATTGTGGAAATTTAACCTCCATGGGGATCCCACTACAGAAGGCTGTGGCTGAAATGTTTTTTTAAAACACATGTAATTAAAGACTAGTTAGGAGAGGTTACATTTCTCTTTTACGATTCTTTTAAGAAAATCTTTTCAATTTATTATTTTTATTTTCATTTATATTTCATTTTGTTATTCAATATTATTGCTAAATTTTATTACTACTGTTTTTATGATTGTAATATATGTTATTATCAATTTCATCATTATTATTTTTCTAAGGCGATTGGTGCGCAATGCTAACTGCATTGTGCTGATTGCAACAGAATCATGCCAATCGTAGCGAAAAAGTAGAACCCAAACTTCCATGGCTCTTTGGCCTACAACGGGTTGCTTTTTTAATCGTTTTTCTAAAGATGCTCAACAAGTTTTTCTAGATACTTATTAATATTTTTCAAAATTTTGAATCACGCTGTTTCGTATGAAAAAGTTTTAAGCGATTCATACGATGCAAAAAATTTTAATAATTTTTAAAATCGTCCTCATATGCCACTTGTTGCCAAACTCAGGCGCTATTAACAAAATTATATATATATATATATTTTTTTTAAAAAATGCTCCGTAAGTACTTTCAAACATTTGTTGATATTTTAAAAAATTTTGAAGGCCGCTGTTTTATATGAAACAGTTTTAAATGATTCTTTACGATTCAAGAAACTAATAATTTTCAAAATTGTTCGCATTTATCGTGCCGTTTATTGCAAAATTCAGGTGATCTCAAAAAAGTTTCAAATTTTTTTAATGACTCTGTAAGTATT